AAAATAAAAATGAAAGCAGTTGATTGGAAAAAAAAAATTGAGGCTTATGGAAAGAGTGGTGCTACCGTGAAGTCAACCCTCGTGCATTTGGCGCGAAACTGGGAGAGCAAAAACAGGTACCGCAAGCTTCACGCGTGTTGCACCAGTGCTAAATCTTACGTGAACCACCGCCATTCCCACGTGCTTCAAATCTTTTTGAAATTAAATATTTTCAAGGTTTTTTGATGAGATTCAGCATTTTTCTTATTGGGACTTACATTGATTGACCAACTAAAAAGTCATTCAAAAATTTTAGTTAATCATCCAAATTATCATGACGGTTAGTTACATATATGATGCCCCACTGTCGACACAAAATCACCTGTTTAGACGGCGTTAGTGTAGTTGTAAAATTGTTTTTTTAGCAAACCTCTGCGCGCAAAAAGATCTACACGTATATAAAAAGAAATTACAAAATTAGCAGATCGCTAGATTATTTTTTTAACAATATTGCTAATTGTTGATTATCCGGTTTATCGGCCTAACGTCTCTTCTGGCAAACAGATTAAAATTTCGACTTTATCGACAGGCAGTGTCATAAGCTTTTAAGTCAATCACCTTTGCATCGTCAACCGTCAGGGCATCCCAAAGCCCTGCCGCTCTATCGGCCCTTCTTGAATGTCTCCTGCCGCCAAGCAGCAGCCTGATCATCGAACCACCAACGTAGTCGTCTCTACATCAAAGAATCACTACATTTTGGTGCGTCAGCAACAACTACATTTCGCTGCGTCGGCCGCTGCTCTTTTGATGCCTCTGCCCATCCTATTCTTTCGACTGTTTAACTCCCTGCTAGACAGAAAACTGCCCCTGCGGCGTTTTACGACGTCCTTGCACTCATGCCCGTTCAGTTTTTTTTTAGGGCAGTATGTAAGCTTCTGAGGTTCTTTGGAGTCGTCCAACACTCTTGTTCCTTGAGTTCTTTCAGGACAGTAAATAAGCCCCTGAAGTTCTTCACAGTGTTCCAACGTTCGCGATCGTTCAGTTTACCGGTCTGCCCTGCAAGACATGGCCTTTCCCCTTGTCCAGTCGCTCTGCTGCATTCAGTTTTGACTTCACGAAATTTCAGTACATTGAGACGTGGTGCCCTATACTCCGTTCACACCTAAGGTGAGACTGCAGTGGGAACTATGTACCTGCCGAAAAAATCAACCGCCTTCTTTTCATCACCTGACCCAGTCCTCGGCAAGTGGGTATGAGCAGGAGCGTGATCACATAACGAAAGAGGGATGTATGACTGGTCCATTGAGGACGTAGCTTCCACCGCAGTCTCAGCATAGTGATGAATAAAATATAGTAAGAGCGGAAGATGGCAACCCGGCTCCGACCTCCCAAGAAGGTGGCGTTTACAAGACGGCCGCTGTCTCCATTGACCTCTTTGCTCGAAACACTGTGGCAAAAAACAAGCGTGCACCCGCACGCGAGCACCACGAAGCTTCAACGACGGCTGCCCGTATGTGGAGGAGCTGGCATCTTCTCCACTGTGGTCTCGGCCGATGCTTTTATCTGCTTTGTGTCTGAGTGGACCACGATCAGTATTTCGAAACTCTGCTGCAGTACGACAAAATGTAAGCCGAGTTCATCGTTGCTTGGTATCCGACCAGCTGACCCGAACTTGCACCGGAGGCGTTTAACAGGACTGGGCACATGATTTGCACCTTCTTACATGGTCTTAAACGTCTTTGTCAACCCCGGGGTACCAGAAGATAGTGTTTGCCAAGCTCTTCAAGACTGACCTGCCTCGATAGGTGTCATGGAGCATAGCCTCCTGTATACTGGTAATGCCTGCTAAATTGCAGGTTGCCAGCTATCACCACAAGTGTGCGTCTCTGCCCTATACAAGCACAAAATGTGAACGGCGAGAAGAAGCCTTTCTTGTGCGTGGTATTCTTGGCGTTGTTTTTGGCATTTGTCGTTGTACATGGCGCGGCTGTCATTTCACGAGACCCGAAGCACCACCCGGTATCATGGAAAGTGCCTGAAGCTTATTTCGAGGAAAGACTGCGTCCCAAATTCTACCTCCTATATACGCAATAGTGTGGGGTTGGCACCTTTTCCTGACGGATATTAAGGAAGGCCTGTCTAGTCCCCCTTCGTGCATTCTGCTGAGGCTCCACTCGAAGCCCAGCTTGGCTCGAGCGCCTCTGATGTCAAAGCTGATGAGCCCATGTACCCTTCCAGGTCCTGTTTGTTGCGGCTTGACTGGCTCCCACTGCTTAGATTTTAACTAGGGTGCCTTCATGTGCGCTTCGCATAGAGTGATGCCAATTGCCTATTTCCCTTTCTCCCGCCACCATTTTGTTCCTCATTGTTTCCCCGTGCGTTTCCCGTGCGCCGGAAAGTGACCTTTTTGTCCATCGGTCCCCCCATCCGACGGGGGAAATGCTAATCCTCCCTCCGTGCGTTCCACAACGCTGCTTCGAACTTGTGAGATAAGGTGCTTGTTTCCGGAAGGGTTATAAACCCCACGGATTATCGCCGAGACCGAAACGGCTGCTGGTTTGTCGGCGAGTGGTATTACAAAGGGTGGCACCACCCTAGCAAAGCGCACATGAAGGCTCCCTAGTTCCAACATCCTTCTCGCGCTGCTCCAGGTGTATGCTGACAGGCGCCTGGCAACAGCCACAGTGCGTCATTACGAGATTTGAGCCCCGGCAGAGCTAACACCTTCCGCACTGCTTACGTGACTTCGTAGCGGTTGTTACCCCAGAGCACCCTGGCCGTTGCAATTTCTCTTCACCTTCTGAACTTTGAAACTAAACCAATTATGTAGCAAAACCAAAGTATGCACTACCTCTCAGCATTTTAGCACCGCCTCTCGGAATCATTATCGTTGTTGTAATGCTCGGTTTGTTTGTAGTTGAGATGGTCATATCGCGACATCTTCCTTTTCACTCATGGTGCCTGCAGTAACTTTGCAGAACATGAGAACATTGAAACTGCACAGAGCTAACACTGCTGTGGAATGACCAAAATATGCGGTTGCAACTTCAGCTTGCGTCAGCCAGCTCACCATAGTGCGACATCGGGACGTGCAGTGTCACAGTGTCGTAGGACGCCAGCTGCACTTGATGTGGTAACCATCGTGCAATGCCTATCTTGATCGTGCATGTGTTTCACGTTTACTTTGCCAACTCAGGCAATAAAAATTGTTTTTGGTGGAGCCTATCGAGTGTGCTGGTTACGACCACCTGAGCATTCAGCTAATTGGTGATTTTACTTGGCTACTGGTTTCAGTGGAATGTCTCGTCTTGATTCTGTAGTCCATAATCTATTTTTTGGTTGGTTTGTTCGAAAGCAACTCAGTCGGTCTATCTAAAGAAGCCTCAAGAAAAAGCTTTGCTAAGGCTGCACTAGCCTTGACAATTATTTTTCTTGAAACCGAGATAAGACCACCTGATTTTGTTTTGAGCAAGCCAGCACACTGCAGAGGAGGAATGACCCAGATTTAGCATGAAGTAATAGGTTTCACATGAGCACATTCCATTTGTAGCTGAAAAAGAGGTGTCACTTAATTAGAAAGACAAGTTAAACAAAAACATTATTAGGTATTTAAGCTACCAAAGCTGTGCATACTTTAGCTCGGCTTTGCGTATTTTGGGCACACTTTACTTTGTAGCTTTGAGTTAATCTATAATAACTATTTGTTCGCTTGGAGCATGTAAAATACATTGGACGGGACAGACAACTGCACTTGGGCATCCATCACATGTCTGAGCTGGGCCTTCATTTTTTTTTTCAGTTGAAGTGTATCTCTCTATTCGCTCGATCAGTATCTACTTCATGTACTGAATGCATTTTTACAAGGTTGCGTCGCCACAGGAGACTTGTGCGCTTGGGGGTGTTTGGTGAGAGGCGTCACCAATCACGATGAGCCCCGAGCCCATCGTGGGTTCAGACTCCCTGCATGCCTGGGTCACTAAACTCGTCGAGCACAAATTTGGGTCCGAAGTTTGCGGAACGCGCTAATTGGACTCTCGCGACGCTGACGTCGCGCCGAGCGAGGTGTCAATCATTCGGACGGTGATTTCTTTGAGAGAGGCAGAATATAGCAAAGTTCATCGAGGCGCGCGTGCGGCGCGTGAGGGGCGCGAGGAGCCCGGTGATTGAACGGCTTCACCGATGACGTAGCACCCAATTTTCCCTACATCCCTACGTCAAGCTAAAATTAATGCTTTGCAGATTGTCCCTAGGCGACCTACTGACGCTGAAAATCCCTCCGAAGTTTGTGTAAAAAAGAAACCTCGTTTGTCAAAGTTGTCGCTGACGTCAAAGTGACGTTTCCGAACTTTGCGAAAGCCGTGGTTTGAGCTCGAGATCTTCGCTTCAGATCGAGGCGAAGTTAAAATTTGTCAACATGGCGGTGCCGTGCGCTGCGGCCGAGCTTATCTTCCGCCACCGTCGGCGTCGCTACTGAGACCACCGGGGACGCCATTCAACTCCCCGACGACGACATTTAGTAACAGTACCGGCTATCGAAAGCCGTTGTGCGTTGACTCTGCGACGAGCTTCGTTCGCCGCCTCGGACCGTGAAACAACGAGTGCTCTGCGCGCTCCGTTTCTTCGGAACCAGTAGCTTTCAAGGCATGGTGGCGACTTACGAGCACTTGTCAGTCTCCCAGAGCACTTGTCAGGCTGTCAGAGATTTTGCGGCTCCCTATTGGAAAGACCAGTTTAAACTGGCAACCAGTTCAAACTGGTACCAGTTTCAAACTTGGATATTGCTCCAGTTTGACCAGTTTCATACTGGTTGAACTGGTCACACTGGTCATGGTGGTTGAACTGGTCACACTGGTCATGGTGGTTGAACTGGTCACACTGGTCATACTGGTTGAACCGGTTGAACTGGTCATGGTGGTTGAACGTGTCATGGTGGTTCAACTGGTCACATTAACTTGTCACGCTGGTACAACTAGTATGTACTTGCCGTTGAGTAAATAATTCCACTGTGAAACGGTATAAGGAATCACTGCCATTTTATTCTTTCGGAGCGACCCTCCTCCTGCCCTGCCTCGCAACATCAGGCAAGAAGTCTTTTAGGATGTCGCGGACTACCGTCTGGAGCTCCAGGATCGGGCGACGTTCAGCCTCTGGCTTCTTTGCCCTCTCATAGTACATCAGGCCACCTGGAGAAATTGTAAATATATCTGCGTTAAACAGCTGTGCAAGGAAGAAAAACTTTTTTTTTCTTTTTGTTATAATTTCGCAAACATAATATATACAATTTAAAGGAACTGGAAGGCTTAATTCCCTGTAAATTTTTTGAAGCACTAGAAATGCACAACACAAAGACAGAATTTTTCTTTCTACCAATAGGTAAGCGCAATTCGAGAGCGACCATGCATGACAAGTATTGTCAAAATGTCATCGGTACATTCAGGTTGGTGTGGGCGTAACATCATTTGAAACTTACAAGTAGATCTATCAAGGTCAAAGCATATGGTTTTGAACTCTTAACTATATATATACATAGCATTGAAAAAAATTGCTTCTTTTTTAATGGATGAAATCTTAACGGTAATATGCCACGGAAGAATTAATAGGAACATTAAGATGAAGGACAGAACGGGCACATCCTTCACTTCCTTTTAAATTAACTCAGTGCAAGTCTACAAATCATATGGTAAACATTTTAACAAAAACATTCCACAAGTGGCTACAGTGGCAATTATAAACCTAGGTTGGCAGTACCAAAACACCTGGCCAAAGACACCAATCAACTTAAATCCAGATTGTAAAACATCCATGACCATGTAACTAATAATTTTAAGAGCTGATTTACAGGGAATATGTCTCCGTCTATTCCTGGAAATGTGTCCATCCATTCCCGAATACAGAGATTTAAAGGGCCTCTCCAATAATTTTTTGACTGGTCTGAAACTTGTGCCGAGAGTGACCGCAGGCAACGCAATAACACTGAGAAACTACCGTATTTACTCGAATCTAACTAAGGTCCAAAAATCGCATGTGCGCTACAAACGAGTGCGACCAAAACTGCGCTACCATATCGCCATCGATATTCCAAAATAGCCACCCATTACGCGCTAAGAAGCTGCGTAGCCAGCTCCTGTGTTTCTTTCATATCAGCGTGGAAGTTCCCACTGCAAAGACCCACCGCGTTCACCATGATGCTGGATTCAAAAGAAAAGGGATATTGTACGCAGAGAGCGATGGAAATTGGGCCGCATCACGTGCGATGGGTGAAAGATGCATGGTGCACGATCCCGTCTGCCATGGTTATCAAGGCCTTCAAGAAGTGTGGAATTCCTAACGCTATGGACGGCACCGAAGATGAAACGCTTTGGGCCGTTGACAGCGATAAGGAGTTGTCCGACAACAATGACGAGTGATGCATACTGTCCCACGAGCGCTGCACCAGACCGTCGCCATGATGACGACCTTGCCGGCGAGACAGCGCCGTTCATTTCATCGCAAGATTGAAGCATTCGGAATAAACCTTTGTTCCAAGCGAGAAAAAGTTTAATTTCTGTATTTAACCTACAAAATCTGGCGCGCGTAACAATCGAAGTCATGGCGTTTTTTCTTTTTTCGGACCTCGAGAAAAGGGTACACGTTACAATCGAGGGCGCGTTATATTCGAGTAAATACGGTAACCGCTTTGCAAAATAAAAATTATTCGGGACACTATAAGCAAACGAAATTTACAGAAGTGGGCCACTGCGTGACGTAAATGGAGATGCCAATGGTAGACGCAAAACACGCGGCGGCTCCTCCGCTGACGGATCCACATCGTCGCTCAATAGTGACTCTAGCGTCAGCTATCCTTGATACAGTGGTGCCTTGCGTTTCTTTGCCGCAGAGCCGCTGGGCGGTGGGCGTGCCGCCTCTCAGAGCCGCGTACGCATCGCCGGCGCTCAGCTCGCCTCTCAGTGCTTGCATCCGTGCATCGTCCCTTCATCGTCGCCCCCCCGCATGCCGCAACAACCGGGGTCCCCACTCACCGAGTCGAGTTTCGTAAAAGTGCATGAGAAGAGAGAGCACGTGTGTACAATGCGTCGTCTGCTAGTTTGGTTTCAGTTTCCGCGACATGAATGCCGCAGGGCGGCTCACATGTCGCAAAGAGCTTGTTTTTGTTGTTTTTGGGCTTTATTAAAGTACATTTAGTTTTTTCCTTAGTCTTAGAGCTCAATAAAAACAACTTTTATAAATAATTATGAGGTAAGAACATTCACACTTATTATTCCGTGCTCAGGAACAAACTATTGGTGGACCTGGCCAATCGGGAAGCCAGCTCCGTTAAAGTCATCTGCCACGCACGTTTAGCACCACTCTGCGCCCACCATCGATACAACCATTCCGCACCTTGTCAAATGAAAATATGATGCACCATTCTTTTGCAGTTTTGTCTTTGTTCCCCAAATCCCCCAAACCACAGAAAAGGCAGGGAGCGCAAAAAAAAGCAGAAACATAATTATATTGTTGGAGGGGCCCTTTAAGCAAAAAAAAAAAAAAAAAGCAGAGGGATTGCATTTGCAAAGCTTTCACAAAACATAATGCAGCATGCATGGCCAAGATGGCAGCACATTTAGCTCTTGGGCAGAGGCCCAATATTGGGCACCGGTAGTTCTTTTTATCCTCTGGTTGTCTGGAATGTCCCAGTTAAATATAACCATGAAAGCTTGTTTTTTCTATTCTAGGAAATGTTCTTGGCTGTCGAATGTGTGTAAAAGGAAGCACATGGTGGCTGCAGGCAGATAGTCTTGGGTTATGGTAAGGTCTTACCAGTCACGCTGACATCGACACCGCCAACGCTAGTCGCCACCAATTTTATTTTGTTTGTGAGCACAAGTTCATTTATTAAATATTTAGTTGTCTAATACTTCAACCTTATTATTCCTGTTAGTTTTCCAAGTGAACCTCAATAAATTTATGGTTTTCCAAATAGTTTAAATTTAAAAAAGACTTGAACAAGGACAGCACATCACTCAACTCATTGTTTTTAAGACATTTACCAACTCTATCAACTTTCTACATTATTACATTATTTGTTGAAAGTTGACCCCTTTTCATTCTAATATATTTTGACACTCTATGCACTTACTTGCAAGGGCCATCATCTTTGCAGGTGTCACCGGCAGCTTTCCTTTCGCGCCCTCTTTCAGAAAGCGCCGGCTCGGCTCTCCGGTCACGCTGCGAGCACAGAGCTCAGCAGTAGAGTAGATCGTCCGGGAAAGGTCCTTTATGAAGCGTTGTTCCGGTAGCTTCGATACCAAATCATCAAGCTTAAGCTTGGCGACTTTTAGTCCACTGCCAAGGTGAACCTGCATTCAATAAGAATTTCCTTGTGAACACTATAATCTACTAATCTGGAAAACATTCCATCTAGTAGACTACCACAGTTTGGCAAAACAGTGAGTCTTAGTCACATTATCAAACCCAACATTGAACTTCATAATGATACTGCCATATAACAAGATCATGTGCCGTTGCGGGTTAAGTGCACACGCCATTTTATTGTCACGAGTTTGCTTGGCCCTAAGTTTTAAAGAAAAGAGCCGGAACAAAGTTTTCCCGATATTTAAACAATGACAATAACTGACCCGCCTGCATGTTTATGTTTAAGAAATACAATGAATGCAAATAAATTCCAGGAGTATTAAGGGCACTGAAATTCTTTTTTCAAGGGTATTAGGTCTTCAAGGGGCTGTGCAAACTCTACGTGGATGTTGACAGCACTGTGGTGGTGTGCGGTGCTCCAACAAACGAAGACTTCGTGGTGTTGGTAGGTAGCAAAGAACCCACCGTGGACGCCGAGAATGAGAAAATCAATGAGGAAGAAGCCTTACACTACTTTTGAATGGGAAACCAGAGTCCTTAATAATGCTTTTGGATCTTGAAACTTCCACCGAAGTTTGATACAGGAACAGAAGCTCCTGTCAAAAGTAAGGACAAACCACCTACACTCTTGCTATCCTCCGTTTGCTTGACAATTTCTTGCATACGAGAATACTTTAAACATACCTTCACTAAAATGCCAAGCTTTAAGAGAGGAACCAGCGGTGTTGACGCGGAGATGCCTCTTTGAAGGTGTAATTGTGGACGTTTACGTATACTCACAAAAAAACCTGTGACCGAGAAAACAAAAAAAACCAAGCGGACTGTTTTTTAGGGTGCTACTTGCCTATTTGGATCTAAGAACAGCAAGCTCACTGAAAATCTACTGCACAATTTCAAACTTCATTACAGTACTCGAGCGGCAGCTCTCGTGCTGAAAGACTGTGTTCAGGTCGGCCGTGCTGCGCGTATTCTGCTCGCGTGTCTTCTTGCTCTTCCTCTGGACTGCAGGTTTACCCATATGCTTTAACAAATGCAGCAGTTACGAATGAAAATGCCACTCATGCCTGGTCATGCAGTGCGCGACTACGCACACATGACCCGCAAACTCACGCTTATCTTCGCGCAAAGTCTCCAGTGCGCGACTACGCACACGCAACCCACAATTTCACACTTGCCTTTGCGCAAAGTACTTGAATCGGCAGCATGATGCTCATTCTTCGTGACTGCGCTTAAAATTAAGGTCTCAGATAATCCAGTATCGTTTAAAGGGACACTGACACCCCCCAAAAAATATTTTTCATTTTTTGCCAGGCGCTTCATTATGGTGTCGGAGGACTACCCAATTAATATTTTGCAACAGAGTAGCGTATTTTTTTAATAAAGCCAAAAGACGCAACTGCTCGAAACCGAAACCGAAACCCGACGGAGGTCGGAGAAGTGGAGAGAAGAGAGTGGAGCGGCGGAAGTCACGTGGCTACACCCGACCGTGTTTTTTTTTTTTTTTTTTTTTTGTCTCTCTCCTTCTTGTAGCAGACGACATGCGGCGTACGGGAACTGTTCGCCGTGGGATTCTTTTGCAGTTATGTATGTTCCGCTCGTTGTTCTGTACTCCAAGATGAGTTGTTTTGTACATTGAGGAGTTGGAGATGAGTAGTGAGTGCCCGTGGTGAATTTTGATCGGCTCCGAAAAGAATACACCCAAGATGTTGCGTGAAGAGCTGGCTCACATCATCATCATTTATTATTCCTTGAAGGCCCAGGGGGCATTACACAAGGGAGTGAACACATGTCCTGCGTCCGAAACAGAAGTGGCATTGTGCGACAGAGTTTCCGAAAGATCAACGGGATCAGGACCCATGGCTGGCTACATTTCCTGTAGACCATTTACGGGCACCTCGGAAAGCGGACGCTACCTGATTTATATGCTCCTTGCATTTTGTGGAAAGTGATTAAATTGAGTTCGCAGGTGTCAAAAAAGAAATCCCATACCATTTAATTCAGCGACGTGTCGTCCACAACATTTGTTTCTTATTTTTTTTTTGTTTCTTCAGTAATAATTATAAAAAAAAAAAAGAAATGTAAACATCAGAAAATATTATAAAAAAAAGTTTCACGGGGAATCGAACCCGGTCCTACCGCGTGTGAAGCGGACGTCTTACCCACTGAGCTACTGGGGCACGTCGATACTAGGGGATCTCTTTCCTTAGTAACAATTCAGCCGATAAACTGTAAGTTGGAAAGTTTGCTGCCGATTTTTCTCTAGCAAAAGCACTCCAGGGTCGAAGTCGGGATGCACCAGGCATTGGCGACATTCTCACCTAGTAAAGAAATCGTACGCGTGCATATTCAACTCGAAGTAGACACGTCGCGCTTGACGTTTGCGCGAGCGATGTCTTCAGCCACAAGAAGGGAGTGACGGCTCGGAGACGTCTTCGTGCAAATCGGCTTCGTGGTCGGGCGTGTCGTACGGCATGAATACCAATTCTTTTGAACAGTCCTAAATTTCTCTTTTAAAGGCGAACAAAATTCGCCGGTACCGCGAACGACAGTTCTGAAATAGAGGTCCCACGCCCGTCGTCCGCTGCCATCGCCGTCCCCGCGAGTCCCACGATACGCGAAACGACGCACGCACAGAATGCTTCCGGTTGTCTGTGGAACTTTTTTTTCAATCAACGTATTTGCAGGTTTTTAGAAGCCACAAAAAATGGGTTTCATATTTTTTTCTATTTTTGGTATTGAGTGTGTCCCTTCAGTGACCCACGACTTTGATTAAATTTGGTGGTCGCATCGATACCTTAGAAAACGGCCCGTGACCGCGGAAAAGAGAGTGAGCGAGACTCGAACCGGCCAGTTCTTGATCGGCGGTTTTCGGGCGGAAAGAAACCGAATTTCGAGCCGCAAATTCTGTTCTGGGTAGTTGAGCTCTCATATGTCACGTACAACTAAAAACCTCGGCGAGCATAAATACCCTGTCAGTGTCCCTTTAAACTCTGGCATTCTAACCTCGCATTTGAAGGCTGCAAATCTGTTGACATGCCGAAAAAAAAAAAAAAGAATGGCTGTGAAGCTTACTGGCAGTTTCTGTTCCAGTCGATTTAGAGACGCTGTCACCTAATATGTTAAAACTTTCTAATCATGGAGCCCGATTTTGGTCAGTGGTGAGAGCACGATCTTAGCCGGATCGGGGTTCGTCTGCTACAAAAGAGGCGCGGTTCGTCTGCCACGAGGTGTCATTTGCTGACGGAACAGAGACGCCACTTGCTAGCAGATACTAGCTAGCAGGTGGTGAGATTATAGAGGAGATCGAAAACAAGGTTAAATTGGAAACCTCCGCTATTTCCTGAAGGACGCAATCGACAACCTGTGCATCGTTTAGAAATTTGGATACGTCCTCCTGTCGTACGTAACCCAACATCCACCCGAGAATAATTAAGAATTTGAAATGAACACCTACCTGGCATACGAGAGCTTTCATAATCATAAGTAGGTCAGAAGTCCTCACCTATTTACGGAAGAGGAAAGCTCTCGCATGCGAGGTAGGTGCTTGTTTCTAATTCTTATTTATTCACCAGCGGATGTCAGGTTATGTACGACAGGAGAACGAATGGAATTCGCATTTCAAAATGAAGCACAGGTCATCAACTGCGCCCTTCAGGAAATAGTAGATGTTCTCAGTTTAACTTTTTTTTCCCGACCTCTCCACCCGCCCGTGGGACATAATTAGTACCATACGGCCCACAATGGCGTCGATGCCTCATAGCAGACAAACCACACTTTTCCCTTGCGTTACCGGACGACGTGTCTGCTAACAGTATTTTAGCATCCCTCAGCGAGAGCAGACTCTGACTTTTCTCCCACCCATGACAAAAATCAGTCCCCTGGGCCGGTTTGCTCATCTTGCAGCTGTGGCCAAGAGGGATTTTTGTCACGTGACCAGCTCCTTGGGGACATGGAACTATGTAGCACCCTATGCCCCTGCCTAATGGTACAGAAATGCGTGTCGCTTCGAGCACAAAAGTTTGACTTTGCTCGCAGAAACTGACCGCAGAGGCTTGCAATTCAAGTCTAATTAACCACACCCTTAAACTTTAAAAGCGGCAGGTAAAGTTACAGCCGGAAAAGGTCAATATGCACCAAAATAAAAGATAAATCACGCAAGACAAAAGCAGTGGTGTTATACATATACGTCTGCGCCAGCTGCGCAAGTTCTGCCGTCTTGCGTGGCGGACTGGTAACGGTGTTGAGTCTTGTCATCGCTGCGTGAAAGTTTTGGGTTCAAATCGCGCCAACACTAAACACCTTTTTTTTTTTTTTTTTTTCAGATTTATATTTTACGCATGTCTTGCTTTTTTTACCACTTGCACGACTGTGCCACAGACTTTTTATTGTTTGAATCACCTGTTAAATCGACAAGCCTGAAGAAAAAAAAAGATCAAGCTAAGTTACTGCGCTGATAACATGGTTTCATGTTTGTTAAAAGGAAGCCAAGGTAATGGTATCAGCATGACTTTCATAATGGCATTAGCATGACTTTCATACAAACTGGGTCGAAATAAACGTTGTTTCCCCAGCAACTACAATTCTATCTGTTTTTTCAATATTCAAGGTGCTTGCTACGACTCATTCAATAACAGAAGGCGCATATTTGGCCCTAACAGACACTGCAGTAGTGTAAACTCAAAAATTGAAACATCCACAAAAAAAAAAAAAAATCTAGCAGCTGTAGTTGCAATGAGAAAGTTGTAAAACCCAGATAAAAGATTAAACGTTTACTTGCGTGAAATGCGATAAAAGTTTCTACATTTTGCTGTGACAACAGTTTTGTAATATTATGTACATATATATATTTTGTAATATTATTTTATTGTAATAATAAAAATAACAATATAATAAAATTAAGTACTAAAATAATAATAACAATAACATTTTGTAATACTAACTTATAAAAGATAAGTTGAGCAAGAAAGAAAAACTTAAACACAGCAAGCACAATTTTTAAAAAAGGATCACAGTTAAAAAGTAAGACACGCGTAAAATATAATTTATAACATAGAAGTCCTATCATGCCACAATTCGAAGCCTTCCACGCCAAGTCCCGTCTCTGCTTTTGTATAGCGTGATTTATCTATCATTTTGGCTCATCTTGGTGTTCCCCGGCCGTAACTTTACCTGCCACTCCTAAAGTGCAAGGGTGCTTTTAATTAGACTCGAATTGCAAGCCTCTGCGGTCAGTTTCTGCATGCGAAATCCAACTTTAGTGCTTGAAGTGACACGGATTTTCGCGCCATCAGGCAGGGGCGCTAGGTACTTCCATGTCCCCGTGGAGCTGGTATTGCGACATAAAAATTCCTCTTAACCGCAACCGCAAGATGAGCGAACCGGCTGTGGGGCTTGATTGTGGGCTCCGGGGGGCCAACCACTGCGTTTACTGAATGCCCATCTGCTGTCCAGTTATGCTGAACTGTCTACGCTAGCGCCACTGCACAGTCACGCTTTACAGCACACGAAGCGCTCCCATAGTGTTACGGGGAAGTTCCATGACTAGGAAAGTAACGAAGGACTCTAGTAAATATGGCCGTAAATATGACCATAAATATGGCCGCCACTGCCGCAATGTGTCCTGGGAGCTGCAGTCTTTTTGCACATGCCACAAGCCAGCTGCAAGCCTAGCCTACGCGAGCAAAGCACGAGCTGTCTGGTGTACTGCCATCAGCATCCAGTGAACTACAGTTATGGTGGCGTGATGCATGCGCCAACGATTAGTGAGCTCAGTCTATTAAGTTGTGCGACACGCAGGCGACGATTAGGGCCAAAAATTGGTCAACATTCCCTGGATTATACATGAAGCCTATTTCAGTCGTCAAACAAAGTTCCTAAATCGTCTTCATTGTTCCTTCAAAGCAATTTTGGTCACTTACCATTCCATCTCCTTCGATCAGCACTGGTGGTGCAGGGCCTGCACATGGTAGAGCGGGCTCTGGCAGCAGGAATCCTGCAAGCAAGGTAGTATCTTTGCTTAGATTCGAAATCCTTATCAATTTGGATACTATAATGAGTGATAAGGCGCAGCCGAGCTGGTTTAGCATAGTTGTAAACCCGAGACTGGGGATACGGACAAGGGACAAAACACAGAACGAGCTGGTTTACAATCATGATTTAAGACAACCCTTAGACAGGGGACACAAAAAGGGGACAGAACACGACGAAGTCTCACAAGAAACTTGATCGTGTTCTGTCCCCTTTCTGTGCCCCCTGTCTCAGGGTTGTCTTAAATATTCGATACCATACGCTGTTGCCACAGAAGAAAAATAGTAACAGCTTTGCCTCCAGCATAACCTTTCTATCTTTAGTAACACTTCAGCAAACACTCAGCCGCATACGACGGAAGGAAACGATCAGGTGCTGAAGGCGAAGCTTGTACTTTTCTTATGTTGCACCAAAATAGACACAGTATGTCAGCACTATTATCTTGACTTGCACTCAGGTGTAGAGCTTATTTCATCAGAAATATTTGGGACAAGGAGATGGTTTGCTCCCAAGAATGGCTCTTGAAATCCACTAAAATGATTAACAGACTAAACTCTGTTTCAGCCAAGGAGGATAGAAGGGTAGGAGAGGGCATGACGTCGGCTGCGTAGCCTCCACAAGCCATGCTCCCTTGACGCCTCGCCTCTTTCTCATTTTCCTCCTTACTCTCCTCACTTACCATGCCAACGTTGCCACATCACGTGACCATAGCTAGCCTTCGTCAAGCTATGGGGTACTAGAATACATCACAGTCTAGCCTTCCATCTGATAAAACCTACCGGACGGAGCGCGCGCAAGCCTGCAAGGAGTCCTACAATCAACCATCCATCTCCCAGGTGACATGTCACGCGCACCAATCGCCAGAGAGATCTGCGGTCACGCTGGGCACAAAATCGTTTAAACTGTTTATGACTAGGCTTCACACATATTGCAATGTGCCCCCTCCTAGTATTTATAACCCCCTTGGTTTCAGCGAACTTGGCAAGTGAAAAAGATGGGCCCCAATTAGAATGTATGAGCGTAGAACATGACAATGCACAGTCAAAGTGCACTTTTCCTTGTGGATAGTTGACACATCTGCTGCGTTGCTCCAAATGAATCGCAAAATACTTTTGCCTTTTGCTAACCTGCGCTGAAAAGAAGTATACTACAGGCAGAAATTTACCCAAACGTGATACACGCTGTCCCTTTCCTAATCTTCAACCCCAAGAAAATTGCTCACACTAAGTAAAAATGGTAAACCTCCCTGCCCTTACACAACATCCACCGGTGCAGCTTGTGACACAACCTGCGCCTCCCTCCCTTTCCACATCAGAGAATGGTAAGGAGGGTGCAACCAGGTTTTTGAAGAACCTTGGTTTTGGTTTTGTATTGTGTAGTAGGTGTCAGCTAGTGCATATTAAAAGTTTCAGACTATAAAACCAAATATCGAGCACGTTGCAATAGAAATAAATTCAAACTATTCTCTACGAAGGAAACACCCTGGTCCACCGGTAAAAGTTGACTAATGAAAATGCTACATTTTGCAAAGATTGCAAACATCATTTTACCTTTTTAGGCTCGTTTCAAATTATACTTCGAGAGAAACACATTTTCCGCAGTGTGGGCAACAGTACTGTAATCATCGTATTGAAAACAGTAAAATACATTTTCTTTGCACCTTCTTGTATCCGCTTAGCATGCTTCCTAGAGCGAACGCTTCCAATGACCGTCATCAATGTCGCTAATCGGGATGGCATCGTACAATATGGCCCCCATGTCTGCTGTCCATTCCGGTCTCTCGAGCTTGCGGGGCGACAGATTTGATAGTTCCATGGCACAATGGTGCGACAAAAGACTCGCCATTGAGAAACAAGGTTTGGGCTACGATGCACAGACACATTCAAGAAATTTCCTACGGGTCGGCCAGTCAGGGGCGCGGGAAACCTTCACTTGCTGTTTGTTGATGGGCACCCTTTGTCATTCTGGCTGCCATTTTGAATTGCTGTTTTAACACAAAAATATGGTGCGCATGATCACAACTCTGGCATTTTTAGGATCCTTACAGCCCGTAAAGTTAATTACCACCGTAAACAAACTGTATCAGAAATCTGCTTTCTGCCCCTTTTGAGCATTTCTGTACTTGCCCGGTTGCTGGTCAGCTGACGGTAAAGGAGCTCGGCCCAGTGAAGGTTGGTCGGTAGACTTTTCCGCTCCGGAAAGGTTTCCTGAAAACAAATAATACCGTGAAGTATCTCACCAGCGTGTCAATCTGCTACCACAGACGTGCCGGTGTGTGGTTTATAACGCCCATCTACATGCACCCATCCAGACTTGTGACAGTGGCCGAGTAGACGAAGGCATTGATTTTTAACTGCACTGACCGGCACTGGCACAGGTTCGAATTTCACCAGGGGTCAGCTTGTTTTTCCAAAAGAGCCCATGGTTGGTGAACACACAGTTTCAAGGCGAGTTTCGCAATAGATGTCAAGTAAATTGTGAACACGTTTTGAGCACATTTCAAGATAGGTTTCGAGTAGGTTTTGACATAGGATTGGCGAAAAGGAAGAAGTGCCATAAGCAAACTCTTACTTTAAAGGGCCCCTCCAATCATTTTCTTATTGGTCTGAAACTTGTGCTAAGTGACAACAAACAACGCAATAACAAAAAAAAAAAAAAAAGCTTTCCAAAATAAAATTTAGTTGGGAAGTTATAAGCAAATAAAATTTACAAAAGCAGACCACTCTGACGTAAATGGAGCTGCCAATGGTACGCGCGATATATGCTGTCACCCCTCCACAGCCAGATCCACATCGTAGCTGTATAGTGACTCTAGCGTCGGCTATCCTTGGTACAGTGTTGCCTTGGACTGGGGTTACGCAGGTGCACAACATTCCTTCGCCGTTAAGCCGCTGGCGTGTCAAATAGAATGGCTGCCTCTCCAAAGCCGCGCACACATCGCCGGCGCTCAGCTCGCCTCTCCGTGCTTGCCTTCGTGCATCGTCCCTCCATCACCCAGGTCGCCCCCTGCACGCCACGGGGGTGACTGGGGTCCCCACTCATCTAGCCGAGTTTCGTGAAAGCGCACGAAAAGAGAGAGCATGTTAGCATTTTATTGTATTTTATTTTATTGTAAGTACAATGTGTCGTCTAAAAGTTTGGTTTCAGTTTCCGCGACAGGGATGCCACGGGGCGGCACAGATCACAAAAAACTTGCTTTTGTTGTTTCTTCTTTTCCTGCTTTATTAAACTACATATAGTTCTTAAAAATTTAACTCTCATAAATAATTATGAGGTAAGAACAGTCACTTATTATTCCGTGCTCAGAAAGATACTTTTGGTGGACCTGGCCAATCAGGAAGCCAGTTCTTTTAACGTCACCCGCCACGCGCATTATTTAGCACCCTGCGGCGCCACCATCTATCAACTGTTCTGCGCCTTGTCAAATTAAAATATGATGCACCATTCCTTTTTGCAGTCCTGTCTTTGTTGCCTGAATCTCCCGAACCACCACAGGCAGGGAGCGCATTTTTAGGATCCTTACAGACCGTAGAGTTAATCACCACCGTAAACAAACTGTATCAGAAATCTGCTTTCTGCCCCTTTTGAGCATTTCTGTACTTGCCTGGTTGCTGGTCAGCTGACGGAAAAGGAGCTCGGCCCAGTGAAGGTTCGTCAGTAGACTTTTCCGCTCCGGAAAGGTTTCCTGAAAAGAAATAATACCGTGGAGTATCTCACCAGCGTGTCAATGTGCTACCACAGACGTGCTGGTGTGTGGTTTATAACGCCCATCTACATACACCCTACCAGACTTGTGACAGTGGCCGAGTAGATGAAGGCATTGATTTTTAACTGCACTGACCGGCACTGGCACAGTTCGAATTTCACCAGGTGCCAGCTTCTTTTTCCAAAAGAGCCCATGGTTGGTGAACACACAGTTTCAAGGCGAGTTTCGCAATAGGTGTCAAGTAAACTCTGAACAGGTTTTGAGCACATTTCAAGATAGGTTTCGAGTAGGTTTTGGTATAGAACTAACGAAAAGGAAGAAGTGCCATAAGCAAACTCTTCCTTTAAAGGGCCCCTCCGATCATTTTCTGACTGGTCTGAAACTTGTGCTTAGTGACAACAAGCAACGCAATAACAAAAAAAAAAAAAAAATAAAAAACATTTTCCAAAATAAAATTTAATTGGGAAGTTATAAGCAAATAAAATTTACAAAAGCAGACCACTCTGACGTAAATGGAGCTGCCAATGGTACGCGCGATACATGCTGTCACCCCTCCACAGCCAGATCCATATCGTAGCTGTATAGTGACTCTAGCGTCGGCTATCCTTGGTACAGTGTTGCCTTGGACTGGGTTTACGCAGGTGCACAACATTCCTTCGCCGTTAAGCCGCTGGCGTGTCAAATAGAATGGCCGCCTCTCGAAAGCCGTGCACACATCACCGGCGCTCAGCTCGCCTCTCCGTGCTTGCCTTCGTGCATCGTCCCTCCATCACCCAGGTCGCCCCCTGCACGCCGCGGGGGTGACTGGGGTCCCCACTCATCTAGCCGAGTTTCGTGAAAGCGCACGAAAAGAGAGAGCATGTAAGCATTTTATTGTATTTTATTTTATTGTAAGTACAATGTGTCGTCTAAAAGTTTGGTTTCAGTTTCCGCGACACGGATGCCGCGGGACGGCGCACATCACAAAACACTTGCTGTTGTTGTTTCTTCTTTTCGTGCTTTATTAAACTATATTTAGTTCTTAAAATTTTAACTCTCAGAGCTCAATAAAAATAACTTTTATAAATAATTATGATGTAAGAACAGTCACTTATTATTCCGCACTCAGAAAGAAACTTTTGGTGGACCTGGCCAATCAGGAAGCCAGTTCTTTTAACGTACCCGCCACGCGCATTTAGCATCCTGCTGCGCCACCATCTATCAACTGTTCTGCGCCTTGTCAAATTAAAATATGATGCACCATCCCTTTTTGCGGTCTTGTCTTTGTTGCCCGAATTTCCCGAACCACCAAAGGCAGGGAGCGCAAAAAAAAAGAAGAAGCAGAAGCAGAAGTATCGTTGGAGGAGCCCTTTAAAGGAAAACTGCTTAGATCCTAATTCAACTGCCATCAACAAACTTCAAGGTTACTGTTGATTTAGAAAATTCAATCTTTGGGTCACTTGCACATGCAATTGAAGGCCCGTTCAGACAGTTGCGTTCGGAGCGACCACTACGCTTACGAACGAACGCAACCGGTTGGAACAACAAGTTACCATAGCAACGAAGTGCCAAACGGTCGTTTTGTTCGTGTTCGTTTGCAACGTAAGGAGTTGAGCCGGGCTGAACTTTCTCGTTACGTTCGGGAACGACTGCAACGATGGACCAATCAGAGGTCAAGGAGAGCTTGGTCGCGCGCGTTGCATGCCGGTCTCCTTCTATCTGCGAACATGGCATCGGTGGTGACCGTCGATGAGGACGGCGTGGTGGAAAATTACGGTTGTATTGCAGACTATACTCTGTTCACCCTAAGCTGACATTGCAGCAGAAGATACGTGCTGGATGGACCAAATTCAGAGCCAGCTGTGCGGGATGTCACCGCACTCTCTGGCGCGATGACAACGCACGTTGATGTTGCATGTTGCTGGCTCCGATTGGTACATCCAGTGCATACCTTCCACTGCACTGTCAGCTTAAGGGTAAATCGAGTATATGGCACCTCAACTCGGTCATGCCAGCCTTTTGTACTTGCTCTCGTTTTTCTTTGTGAATAAATCAGTCTTCTTCCTTTGCCAGTAAGTGATGGACAGTTATGGTCCACGTCAGGCAGCAAACATATGAGCTCTTCCTCTAGATGACAAGTTTCTATTTACTACAGTGACTACATGAGGGTTGCCTTCTGTCAAATGGCACCGTGTATTCATCTGCCCAGCGCAGCATTTGGGCTTGCAGAAATTTGCAGGTATTTTCGAGAGTATCAGAATTAAAATCGGATTTACTTTTCTCAGTTTTTGGGAAGGATAATCTTACTGTCTGTTATTACATTTGACAGTCATTTAACAGGTAAAAGCTCAACACAAATTTAAAACTTGCCTGTGTACGAGGTTGATGGCACTGGACTTTTGGGGACCTCCTCTACTAGACGACTTGGCGAGTCTTCTAAACAAAATTTGATGCACGGATAAGCATGATCAAAAGATGAAATAAATTTGTACACTAGAATCTTACCGAGCAGTTCAATGCCTTCAAAAGACGGTGGTTCAGCCAACAGATGCTCCTCGCTTGAAGTACCAGGCCTCCTCCATTGCGGTTCTGAGGCAGCTTCTGAAAAACCAAGTAGAAATTGAACGGCAATGCAGGTTATAATAGCTCCTTTTTTTTAAAAGACTCAGTTCGTAATAAGAAAGAGAAGCATGCACACCAATTTTCATTGCAAGGGCCAAACCCAGCCTCCGGCTGTGAGCCTGTTCCTCGGCAAGCTCTTTCTGAAGTCTTTTTATTTTGCCCTCTTTCTCCTGGAGGAGATGTCGAAGGATCCTATCCTCTTGAGGTGCTGCCCTCGTCTCCTGGGTCTGGGTAAAAATACATTGCCACTGTTGGAATATCATAACTTCAGAATGCAAAAGTATTTAGGTGTCTGATAATTCTGCACCTTTTGCTTTTTCTTAAAATCTGCAGCGATGTCATCAAGCCTCGACCGCTTGCCAATCTCCTTCCGGTTCTTTTTTTCCTTTCGTCCAAGGTCTTGGACATGCTAAATGAAAACAGTAGAAATATCAAATATTTACTCAAGCAGTGTCATACTCACAAGATAAGTAAGCTAGTAAGCTTTGCATGCACAAATTACTACGGAACAACCTCCACTACCAGTGAAAGCGACTGGAAAAATGGGCATGAGAAGTAATTTCAGTTCCTTATTTTATCGGGATACTCGCCGAGAAGCAGCTAGGCCTAACCCGGGAAAAAAATAGAGTTGTTATTTTTATGATTTTTGCTACAGTATGGACTGGTTCTGCGCTATGATTTTTACTGCGTGCCTGCCCCAAAAAACATTTCGCGGTGCGCATGGACAGAAAAAAGTGAAATAGAGATGTCTCTTGTATCCTCTTCTACCTCTGTATTTAACACTTTCCTCTCCAAAGTTCTGCTGGCCCTATCCTGGCACAATAGATATTTTCCAAACAGTATTTATTTGCCCTTCCCGGTCGCGTTTGCATTTAGTCCATGTGTGTGGTGCTCAACCATTTTTTTTAAGGACACAAAATGTTCTTGGTATCCTTTGGAGATGGCATCTTTGTTAGGTCTTTAAGAGCAATTACAGAGCAAAACTATTATTCTTGCCTTTCTTGCAGGCTGCTTCTGCGTTGCACTACCATCCAAAATCCTAGGAATCGGGTACCGCTTCAGTTGCATCTTCTTCAAAAGATCATCAAGACTCTCTGTAAAAAAAACAAAAAAACAACAACAAAAAAACACGTTTAAATAGCACCCTCCTTTTAGTGACATGAGTATAATAGGTTCTACACACATACTGATCGAAAGGAAAGCAGTTAAGAGTTACTGCCCCAGTCTCTTCCTGCCCAAACTGGTCTTTGCTATGTGATCACGCCTGAATTTTGAAAAAGAAAAAAAAAGAAAGAAGAAGAAAAAAAAGAAAAGAAAAGAAGAGAAGAAAGAAAGCAGGAGAAGGAAAAAAAAAAACTGCCTTATGGCTTGAAACTAGCTTTCGCACTCGCATGATGTTTTTAACCCACAAAAGCATGGAAGGTTATTTTAACCCCTAATAAATTACTTACCGCCCAGAAGGATAACGTTGGCGTTGTAGAAGTCCTCATCTTCGCCTTCGCCAGAATCTGAAACCCAGTAGGCCTCGTACAGCCGGGTCGCGTCGAAGTCGGCAGCATCGCGAGGCGTGAATTTCTTTACCAGGGAAGTGGGCAAAATCAAATGCACACCATCAGTGAACTTAACATAGGCATGCATTTCGCATGGATCTATTGCGAGATACCAGAGCCGTATACGCGTGATACCAACGTTGCGTGGCAACAAAACTCCAAAACACGCCAGAGAACAACAAAAACCACGTGTGTTTCAGTTCACTTTACCCACGTGAGTACGACGCAGTGTTGCCAGACGGAGAAAAAAAAAGTCAGCAGATTGATCCCCAAAAAATAAATTTGCACAAGAATCAGTAGATTTTACGAAATCTGTTTTTCGCCGTGTTGCTATTTCCATTAAACCACACTTCGAAGAAATAGTAGAGTAACAAATAACGTGGTAATATAAACACAAAAAAAAAAAAAGATTAGTGAGTAATTCTTTATGGAGGATAAAATAAAATGGCACCGTGAATATATATATATATATTTTTTTTTTTAGCATTGAGTAGTTTTGCGATTTCGAGGATTAATCTTTTTAAATTCAAGACTGAGCTACTGTTGGGATCAACAGATGGAGGCGACAGTGCGACATCCACCTCATCCACCTGTCGTTATTATTGAAACGAAACCAAAACAAGACGTTCCGGCAAGTGCGCTCGTACTTGTCCAAGGGAAGAAGTCCTCTGCGGGGTTAGCATCTTTCCTTACTTTGGCTGTGGAAGGTTTTTGACGCACCGCTGTCGGCGCGGAGCACTGTTGAGACTATGCGTCGTCTGCTACGGGCTTATTTCTTTTTCGCCTGACACAAAGTTTGCGTTCAAATGACCTTTCCTGTTGTTTTTTTTCCAGCTCGAAGTGGGTGACTCTTATTCCTGGTCGACGCGGAGATGGTTCGAAACCAGTGCGTTGTTTGGTGATACTGCCGGGACGCGCCTGGCTCAGACGGCGACTACAAACTTATTATTCTTTTTTTTTTTTTTTTTTTTTTTTTTTTTTTTTTTTTACATAGCGAATATTATATACTACCGGGGCACGGTCGCACGGTGTACGAGGTGTCCCGGAGTTTCATTTTTGTTTAGCCGTCAGCATCCAATCCAATGCATCGGGCTCTTGGCGGTAACGGGCTCCGGCTGTTTCGTGCACAACATATTTAGTGTCGAGGGCTAATGTCTCTTACATTCTACGTTTGACGTCGGATATATTCGTGACATGGCTACTCCGGGACCAAGAATCAAACGACGGAAGCGATATCTAAATGCAGATGAGCCGTACGTCATACCGCTTTCAACTTTACGTTACCAGGCGACTCATGGAGCTGGGTGCGTTAACACCGCTAAACCTTTGAACCGCGGCGAAGGTAGCTTGCCGACTGCAACCAGTTGTGGTGCCAATTTAGGCGCCTATGACCAAGGATTGGACGTCGGTTCTGCTGTCGGAGGGCTTCCGAGCCGTGGTGAATGTTTGTCCGAAGGAAGAGAAGCAAACATGGAAATCAGCTCAACCGACGAAAATGACAATTCTTGGAATGTTGAACGCCTTGGTGACGAGGGGGCAGAACTGAAGTCAGTCGAATACTTCGCGGTACACGTTGACGACGATGTGTCAGGACCGGACTCAAGCGAAGACTTCGCGGAACACGTTGACGACGAGCTGTCGGGATCAGATCTGTCAAGCGAAGACCTATCGGAACATGTTGACGACGAAGTGCGGGGACCGGAGTCAAGCGAAGAATTCGCGGAACACGTTGACGACGAGCTGTCGGGATCAGAGTCAAGCGAAGACCTATCGGAACATGTTGACGACGAAGTGCGGGGACCGGAGTTAAGCGAGGACCTAGTGGAACACGTTCACGACGAAGTGTCGGGACCGGAGTCAAGCGAAGACCTAGCGGAACACGTTGACGACGAAGTGTTGGGACCAGGTTCAGTGGAAGAACTCCTGACTCTATGCTTTGAAGAGTTCGGGGAGCGCACATTGCCCCATTCGACTACCACAAAAGCTGGTGCCATCGCAATGATTATGGCGTACGCAGTCTCCGAACGATCGACCTGGTCAGGACTAGACAAGTTGTTGAAATTAGTTAATGACTTGTTCGGCTGCGCGGTTGTGCCACCAAGTGCTTACATGCTCCGGAAGCTGTGGGCAAAAAAAAAAGACAACTTAGTGAAGTATCACTACCTGTGTCCGAGCTGTGGTACAGTCCTTAAGGCTGGTCATACACTTGCAAGTTGCGATGTTTGTCAATTTGAGGAGAAGACTGAGAAGCTAAGGCAGGATGGCTCATTTTTTTTAATGCTTGACCTTCACCAACAACTCAAGCAGCTGATTGAAAAAACGAGTGTTGACCTTCATAATAGCTTGTTAAAGCTTGAATCCAGCAACTCTGACCTCATCACGGACATTACAACGGGTGCGGCGTACAAGACCTTACGCCAGAAGGTTGCATTAGGCCAAAGTGACCTGACGTTAACCTTTAACACTGACGGAAGCCCTATTTTTAAATCTTCCAAAACGTCGGTGTGGCCTATACAGTTCACCGTGAACGAACTGCCTCCATCTGTCCGCTTGCACCATCCAACTCTAGCTGCCCTCTGGTTTGGAAAATGCCACCCGGATATGTCGGCTTTCCTAACGAAGTTTGTTGATGAGGTCAACAACATGATCCCTGTGGCATGGACACATGGCGATCGCAGTCATGCATCGAGAGCATTTGTGTTGTGCTGCAGCGTGGATGCCCCTGCCCGTGCCGCAGTACAGAACATGGTGTGTTTCAACGGCTTCTTCGGCTGTCCGTTCTGCCTCATGAAAGGCGAGCATAAGGAAGGTATGAGTTACTTATTTTACTAATAGTAATTACTTATATCAGTTCAGAAATGTATATATGATCACATCTCCATTGTTGAGTTCAATGTAGCACACTGCTTTCATTTGCAGGATGTGTACGTTATGTCGCTGATGAGGCACCAGCTCCAAGGACATCGGAGCTCCTTGCTCGAGATATGGTGCTGGCGCAGAGACTGGGGGACCCTGTGAATGGCGTCAAGGGTCCATCTGCACTCATGAACCTTAAAGGTAGTTTTTGTATGCGGAATGTGTTGTGTCGAAACCAACTTGGTATCATTTTTCCCTAGGCTTTGACCTGGTCGAGGGAATGAGTGCCGAGTATATGCACTGCGTTCTCCAAGGGGTAGTGCGGCAGTTCACGGAGCTGCTTTTTTCATCTTCCAGCTCACGGCAGCCCTACTACATGGGTAACTACTGACACTTTTTTTATGTCTGGCCATGCATGAAAAAAAGCCCTAAATCTTATTCAGTTGCTGTTTCCCAACTACAGCTTAAATGCAGGTCTGGTGTCGCAAGGTTCTTGCCGTAATCCTTTATTGCGCTCTGCATGCACACAACGCAACACTGCTAGCACGAGGAAACAATCACCTGTTTTTCCTGTGTTTAATCGCTGTAATCAAAACTGATGGATGATTAAGAGTGTTCTCTTGGGACTCTAGCCTGAGTGGTAAAATTTCGTTCATGTCGATGCATTGTTTTAGCAAATGTGAAAAAGCACCGATGCCGTCTTTGCTCTTGCAGAGTGTACGTAAAGTAAATAAGTAAAGTAAAGTAAGTGTAAATAAAGATGTCGTAAATCTGACGTAGATTCAAACTTAACTTTGCAACTTTCGAACACTGCTGACATTCGATTTAGAAAAGTGTGCAATCTTTGAACACGGCCAAAGTTAGAACTGGCCAACTTAGAAGCTTTGAAGGTTTCTGTAAACTCGAGTTTGAATGTTTTGATTCCGTTTAACAATAAAGTTTGCAACATCTGTATAGTTTCATTTTTTTAAATTTAAGATAAATAGATTTGAAGTTTCTTTCAGGTCCAGGTTTGTGAGGTTCGGAGTCTTCGAATATCAGAGATATCCAGGTTTTACAGTTTTGAAAATCATATGTTTGTTTTGTTTGTTTCCTAGACCCAATCTTGATACACAACAGTATTGTGTTTCATTTTGAAGTTGACACATGAGCTATGTCAAGATTCCAGGCGAGGCCACAAAGCGTAAAAAGCTACCACTGCATATTTACAGTAAATGTAAAGAACTTAAAATCTTCATGAGAAATATTTCAAGGCAGGCATGGCACAATCAACACAATCAAAAGTAAACGTCCCGAAAGCATTCCACTGAAGCCAACAGCCCCGTTTCAAATGAAACTTTTTGTTGATGAAAAGTAGCTCATGGCATGTTTACAGTGAAAACAGAGAACCCATTCGATGTAACCCGAGGTGGAGGCCAATACCTGCGGTAACAAATACTATGCAAGCAAAATCGCCTCGACTCACTCGGCTGACTCAGCCACTGCGCATGTGACATTGCACGAAACGGTCGAAACGAGCGAAGACATGAAGCAACTGCCTTTCCAGTTTTAACAGTTATTATGCAAAATAGTTCCACCACGGATTGGCTTGTTTACTTCTTTAACAGGGAGGCCTGGGAGAGGCTTTGTTACAACTATCAATTACCAATGCATGGTTGTTGGTAATTTGCAGCAGTTGTTAAGGTGGCCATGCAATCATACTTGAGGCTGTAGTTTTTTTTGCAGTTTCTATCTCTGTGGTGGTCTGGGCATCCCGGGGGAAGGAGAGAATTACAAAATATTGCAGCATATTGGAATCGGACAACGTGTGGCGCTGAATGCGTGCAGCCAGTGACGTTAGTGAGAAACCTTGCCGTAGGCCAGACCCATTAGAACTTTTTTAAAGTCAAAATAAATATTATAATTGGGCGAGCTGTTAAATTTTTTTTATAAAAGTAGATTTTCTCGAGTATCAGAGATACACAAGAAATATTAAAAGTTTAAAAAGTATGTGAACACACAACGAAAAACGACACCTCATTGAAACGCAGCAGTGGAAAAGGCAGCACAGGCACACAAGCGGTTTAGCAGACAATGCACCTAACCACATTTTTTGTCGCTTTGCTTCTACATTGGCCTGTTGCATGTTTGAACAAGAGGAGGTCTTTTTTTTGTTTTTGTAACTTCAGTTTGGCTGTTTATAGTGTGTATTCGCTACTCAATTGTTTTTTTCTTTTATTCATGGCGAAAACAGCTAAAAAAAACAACAACCGCATCTCAACGTGGTGAATGATGTTGATTGGGGCGAAGCTCTGGTGGTGCTTGTCTGCATAGACGCTGAGCCGCAGCATGCCAAGCCTTTCATTCGTTTTCATCCATGTCGTGCTGCAGTCAAATGCTCAAATGCGTATATAACCACGTTTCATACCACACATTCTCTTTCTGACATGGATGAAAACGAAGGAAAGGCTTGGCATGCTGCGGCTCATTGTCTACGCACACAAGCACCGCCAGAGCTGCCCCAATCAACATCATTCACCACGTGGAGATCA